ATTCATACTGAAGGCTGCAGTCCTTGACTCTCTGCAGCAAGCGCTTCAGGTCCTCCTCAATTTCAGCAAGCAGGGTTGTGTCATCTGCATAATGCAGATTGTTGATAGCTCTTCCACCAATCCTGATGCCACAATTCTCCTCATAGAGCCTAGCCTCCCAGATAATCTGTTCAGCATACAGGTTGAAAAGGTATGGAGACAGGACACATCCTTGGTGTACACACTTCCCAATTTTGAACCAATGTTTCCTTGCTCTGTTCTGACGACTGCCTCTTGGTTCAAGTATAAGTTCTGCATTAGCATGATCAAGTGTTCTGGGATTCCCATTCTCCTCAGAGTCAGCCACAGTTTGTTATGATCCACACAGTCAAACGCCTTTGCATAATCAATGAAGCACAGATAAGACATTCCTCTGGTATTCCCTGCTTTCAGCTAAGCTCCATTTAATATTAGCTACAATATCCCTAGTACCACGACCTCTTCAAAACCCACCATGGACTTCTTGCAGTTCTCTGCTGAAGTGCTGTTCCAGTTGTTTTTGGATAATCTTCTGTAGAATCTTGCTTGCATGTGAAATCAATTAAATTGTTCTACAGTTTCCACACTCTGTTGTGTCACCTTTATTGCTCCTGTATCCTGCATAGTATTCCATTGTGTGAATGTACCATATTTTCTCAAACCATTCGATTGTGGCTGGACATAAGGGCTGTTTCGATGTTCTTACAATGGTGAATAAAACTGCTATGAACACTGGTATATACAAGTCTCCATTTGTGCCTCAGTTCTCACTTTCTCAGGGTATATTCCAAACAATGGAATAGCTGGGTCATATGGAATTTCTATGTTCAGCTTTTTGAGGAAGCACCAAACTGCCTTCCAGAATGGTTACATTATCTTACAATCCCACCAAAAATGTTTAAGAATTCCTACCTTGCCACATCCTCTCCAACATTTATTACTTGCTATCCTATTAAACTTTGCTACTGCTACTGGAGTGAGATGGTATCTCACTGTGGTTTTGATTTGCATCTCTCTTACTGCCAGTGATGTGGAGCATTTCTTCACGCCATTCGAACATCTTCCTCTGTGAAAATTCTTTCCATGTCTTTTGGCCATTTTTTAATTGGCTTATAAGTCTTTTTCTTATGGAGACCCAGGACTATTTTATAAACGTTCATTATGAGACTTGTCTAAGACGGTATTGTCAAATGTTTTCTCCCAGTCTCTTTTCACCCTGTTGAAAAAAGTTTTTGATACGCACAGGAATTTAATCTTTAGAAGGCCCCTTTCACCAATTTTATCCTCTTTGGACTGTGCATTTCTAGCTGTACTTGGCAGTCTCTTTATACCATAAACTAGGCCTTCTAAGCTTGATCCCATTTTGTCTATTATGAACTTTATGGTTTGGGGCTTTACTCCCAAGTCTGATCCACCTTGAGTTGATTTTTGTATATATAGATCCCGTTTCAGCTTTCTACACATGGAAGTCCAGTTTGCCAGCACCATTTGTTGAAGAGGTTATCATTTCCCCATTTGATAGCTTTAATTTACTCAGAACAGACAACTTTTTTTGCTGGTAATTCCAAAGTTGATATCTCTGGCCCAAATCAAGTTTTGGACCTCAATATTGACTGTTCTATTGGGGCACGCTGCAAGGAGGGACTAATCCTTGGAGAGGGACATCATGTTTGGGTGAGTGGAGGGACGGCGCAGGAGAGGAAGAGTCTTGAGATGGATGGATTCTGTGACCGGGGTGATGGGAATGAGTGTGTCAGAGATGGTGAGGTTGCCACGGGATAAGAGCAGCATTTAAGGCTCTTGTTTGTAAGGTTGGTATGAGTTGCAACTGACTCAATGGCACATAACAACAAAAACAACTTCGACTTTCTCATTTGAACATCCACAAACATTTAAAATTTGGAAGATCCAAAACTCATTTCCTTCTTCATTTCTCTTAATACATACCCTTAACCAAGCATAAGGCCAAAACATCCTTTTACTCACCAAAAAACCCAAGCTACTGCCATGGAATTTACAGCAACCCTAAAAGACAAGGTAGAATTATCCACTGCATTTGCAAAGCTGTAAATCTTTCTATCCTTCGAAGGCACTGGTGAGTTAACAAGGAGATCTGGTGAGTTAGTAGCTAAGTGCTTAACCAGTGCACCACCAGGATTCCTTAGATATCCATTAATCCCACTGCCATCAAGTCAATTCCAACTCACAGCTCAACTCAGTCTAATCCCATAGGAGAGAATAGCCCACCTTACAGGGTTTTTAAGGGTATAAATCTTTACTGATGCAGACTGTCACATATTTTGTTTACAGGAAAGCTGGTGAGTTCTGATTATTGATCTTCTTGGTAGGCGATCAAGTATCCAATGGTGCCAGACCTTTATTCATTGGTATTGCCATCAAGTTGGAATTAATTCATAGCTGACCCAACAATGGGTTTCTGAAGCTATAAATCAAATGATAGGAGACTGCTCATCTTTCTCCCAAGAAGCCACTGGTGAATTAAAGCCACAGAGAACTGTCCTTTTTGTTAGAAGCACTACTCTCTAGAGCTTTATTGTTGTCATATACCGTCGAGTCAGAACCCACTGATAGCTAAGCCTTCAGCAGGTTTTCAGAGGCAGTGTAATCACATCTCTCTCCTGTGGAACAGCTGGTGGATTTGAACTGTGAGCCTTTGGAAGTGCAGCACAGATCCTTATCACTAGGCCACCAGAGCTCCCTTAGACTTTTATTATGTCCTGAAAATTTTTCAAACCATGCTGTGCCTATTTTGGTTCAAGTTCACACCACTTTTGACTGGATTACTGGAATAGCTTCCAAACTGTTTATCTCTCTTTCACAATACCGTCAGAGCACACAATACCCAATAAACTGAGTACATTTTTATCGTTAACAAATGCTCTTAAAGTCTTTTGAGGGAACCTCAAAACTTTTACAAGGTTTCTTATGACCTAGGTCCTTAGTCCTACTGCAGTTTCATCTCCAGCAAAATTCCTCACAGATTCTACTCTGTAGCCAAATGTTTAACCAGGGATCCTTAGACCTCCACTAATTCACTGACATTAGCAGCCATCAAGTTAGCCCCAACTCATGGAGACTTAATGGGACTGGATCATTGTTATTCAGAAAGATTTCATTGGCTAGCAAATAACCAACCCTTTCTTACTATTGTCTTGAGTCTAGAAGCTTAGACGAAAGCTGTTGAGAACTACAGCAACAAGCAAGCCTTTAATAACACACAGGTAGGGGCTGTGCTTTAAGTGCAATGGTCAAGAGTCAAACCAGGTAGCCAGCATCAAAGTCAAGAATTCTACCACTGAATTACTATTGCTTCATGAACATGCTATAACCCGCCCCTAACTCACCCAACTACTACTTCAAAGAAAGCATAAGCACCACTCAAGGACAATAAAACTGTGTCTCCCATTCTTTGGGTATGTTGTTAGGAAGAGCCAATCCTTGGAAGAGGACATAATGCTTAGAAAGGTGAAAGGTCAGCAAATAAGGAGAAAGCCCTCAATGAGACAGATTGCCACAGTGACTGAATGGTGTGGGCTTGAATGTGTCAAGAGATGAAGGATGACACAGAATAGGGCAGAATTCAGATTCATCGTTCATACGGTCACTATGAACTGTCCACTCCACAGCACTTAACAACATAAGTGCCTTATGGATAACTCGATCACATTGTATGTTGTTATTGCTGTTGTTATGTGCCTTTGAGTCACCTGCGACTCACAGCGACCCTACATACAACAGCCCTAAACCCTGCTCTATCTTGAGCCAATCTTATTGTCTCTGACCCACCTACCCCATTACCCTAGTCACTGAATCAATCTGAGGGTCGCATAGTAATTGATCACACTGTATAGTAGTTGTGATTCTGTCTTTCCTCTTAACAATAAGCACCTGGAGGGGAGAGGCCAACAACTCCACTTGATTTGTATAACCAGAGAAAGGCACAGAGTAAATACTCATTGATAGATAGTTCTGACTTACTGTATTCTAAAGAAAAATAAAAAAGAGGCGGAAGACGTGTGTGTGTGTGTGTGTGTGTGTTCCTATTAAAACACAATGTAACAATATTGTAATATTGAAAGCCAAACGCGTTTCTCACTGGAAAGAAAAAGAAAAAAAACCAAACCCAAAATAAAACAAAACACAGTGCACGCATTCTGTTTCAAGAGTGTGAATGTAGCAAACCATGAGAACTATACATCAACTAACAAACCAGTCTTCGGGTTCTAAATTACAGCCAGGCAGGTGGACAAGGTGGAAGGTTCTCCTCTCAAGGAAGCACAATAATTTTTCTCACCTACGTTACTGTGACTTAAATTCCTGCTGTGGATTCCTTCACCTCTCTAACCTGACAGGTTATTTAGAAGGCGCTTACTCACCACCTTCAGAGGAGTCATTCGTTTGTCAACCTGTCCATTATTCTCTAAATCTGAATGGTCGAAAGGGGATGAAAGCAGGGGGTGGGGGGGGGAGGGAAATGAAAGCTTTAGGAAGGGGAAGAGAGAAGGCTAGATCCACGGGAATGGAGGAGAATGGGGCTGGGAAATGCCAGGGCGGAGAGGTGACAGCTGGCAAGGAATGGGGCAGAGGGTGCGTTCATGGAGCCTGCAGTAAGTGACAAGGGACCTCAGGCGGGAGAAAGGAAAGGATGGAAGGCAGAAAACTAAAGGTTAGGGGGTGGGAAAGCAGAACTGGCACAGGCGAAAGGAAGTCGCAGTTTTTAGCTCAAGCGAGGAGTAACCAGGGTGAAAAGCTGGGCGTGAAAACAGAAGCCCCGATGCTGCCAGAGCGGGCGAGATTCTACGATGTGGCGGGCAGAGCGAAGTGTGGAGGCAGGCGGCCCCGGTGACACGAACGGTGGAGGCGGGCGTGGAGCCGGTGGCAGAAGCCAGACCGCGCAGCCAGGGCTGCGGGCGGCCGCGGGCTGGGGGAACCGGGAGAGCGGCGAGGCCAGCAGTACTTACTGGGGTCCTTGCGCACAGCACCGCTGGGAGGCTCTTCCCGCAGGTGAGGAAAGAGGAAGTCTCGGGCGGCGTGCAGGTCTTGGAAACAGGAGAACTGGACCAAGGAGCAGGCCATGGCTCCAGAAAAGTCTACTCAGACACAAACCCTCACCTCACCACACCCAGCCCCTCAACGCCCCTCCGCGGCTTCGGCTTCAGCCACGCAGGAGGCGGGGAAACCAAACCGGAAGCTGTCAGCGTAGCCGGGACCGCCGGTCCGGAGCACTGCGCGTGCGCAGGACAGCCTCGCTCCGGGAGGGGCGGTCAGAGTCATGCGACTAGTAGGGCTTTTTCCCCAAGATCGGCTTTAGGTGGTCGGTTTCCGAGACGCGCATTATAGTGTGAAGGTGGAGAGAAGAGTCGAGAAGCCTGTAAATGAGTGAATGAGAAACCAATTTCTTTGTAAACGTCAAATAACTTTTTTAAAAAAAGTGTTTCGTTTCGATCTTGCTCCTCGGCTGCAGTGAGTCCTCAAGTCTGGGCATTTATCCAGCGATGATCTCATTGGCTGATGTTCGTGTGGGATTTTGAGTCATTCAGCAAATGTTATTGATATGTTAAATTGGTGACAGTCCTGTGAGGGACAATATCATACAAGTATGGAAATTGGAAGAGATTCTTCTTGCTTCTAGAAATCAGCACCGTCATGTTTAGCTTTACTTTTGTCATTCTCGTGGACTCCCAGCATATTGTACTCCTATGTTTTCGTCATCCATTCGCTCTTTCATTCATTCCTTTACTCCTCCGTACTACAAATATATTTTGTTCGTTGTATTTTATGCTAACCACGAAAACGCTGAATATAAAGCGAAGAACAAAAAAGATTTAAGCCCTGTTTCTATGGAGCTAAAAATGTAATGACTGATAAAAGAATTGTTGTTATGTGCCATCGAGTCACTTGCGACTCACAGCGACCCTATGTACAAGAGCTCTAAATGCTGTTCTATCCTATGCCTACCTAGCCATCTCAAACACACTTAATTCCCACCGCTCCAGTCACAGAATCGATCCATCTCGCCAAAGGTCTTCCTCTCCTTCGCTTCCCCTCCACTCTGCCAAACATGATGTCCCTTTCCAAGGACCAGTCCCTCCTTGCAACATGTCCAAAGTATGTCAGAGGAAGCTTCAGAATCTTTGACTCCAGGGAACACTCTGGCTTTACCCTCTCCAGGACAAACCTGTTTGTTCTCTTAGCAGTCCATGGTATATTCAACACTCTTCTCCAGCACCACAGCTCAAAGGCATCAATCCTCTTTCTATCAGCCCTATTCACTGTCCAATTCTCTGATGCATAGCACATAACTGCGAAGACTATAGCCCGGATCAGGCGCACCTTAGTCTCCAGCCTGACATCGTTGCTCTTCAGTACTCTTGAGAGGTCCCTCACAGCCGACTTTCCCAATGCAATTTGTCTCCTGATTTTCTGGCTGCTGTTACCAAAAGCGTTGACTGTGGAGCCAAGTAAATTAAAACTGTTAACTATCTCAATCTCCTCACCATCCATGCTGATGCTGCCAATTGGCCCAGTGGTTAGAATCTGTTTTCTTGACATTTAGCTTCAGTCCATATAGGAGGCTGTAGTCCTTGATCCTCTGCAGCAAGCGCCTCAGGTCCTCCTCAGTTTCAGCAAGCAGGGTTGTGTCATCTGTATAACGCAGGTTGTTGATGATAAATTATTAATTATCAGAATAATTATTAATTATTCTGTTTTTTAAGTGAAGTCTTGATCATATTGGGAAGGAGAGTACAAAGTGCTACGACAGACAGTGTATCTGACATAGTTGAATTTTGTTTGTTTCATGGGAAAAGTGTCAAGATTAGGAAGCAATTTTGTAATTCTAAATTCTTGGAGGGTTAGGATCTTCTCTTTGCATCCCCAGAAATGGAGTTAGGTGTGTCGGAGACAGTGAGATTGGCACAGGATAGAACAGGGTGTGGGGTCTCTATGAGTCGCAGGAGACTCAACTGCCCATAACAACAACCGCCTTAAAGATTGGCAGTTTGAACCCATACAATGGCTCCTCGGCAAAAAGACCTGGTGAATTGCCTTGGTAATGATTATAGCTGACTCTTGTGGAGCAATTCTACTCTGTAACACACCAAGTCACCCAGAGCCAGCCGAGGTTCCTCTTCAGACAACAAAAGCAACAGTCCTGCATCTGACACATAGTAAGCATTCAAGAAATGTTTGTTAAAATAATGAATAGAATGTGTGCCTAAACGAAATTGAATAAATCTTTTCATTTACAAAGTACTTTATACGTTTGGAAATATTTTATTCCAAAGACTCATCAATAACCTACATTGTGCAGATAACCAAAATTGCTTGCTGAAATTGAGGAGAACCTGAAGCATTTACTGCAGAATGTCAAGAACTGTGGTCTGCAATATGGATTGAAGCTCAACATCAAGAAAACAAAAATCTCACCACTGGACCAATTGGCAGCATCATGATAGATGGAGAAGAGATTGTGATTGTTAATAATTTCCGTTTGCTTGGTTCCACAATCAACACTCATGTTGTTGTTATGTGCTGTCAAGTCACCTGGAAATCAAAAGGCTAATTGCATTAGGAAAATCTGCTATCAGGGACCTCTCCAGTATGCTAACAAACAACGTCAGTCTAGAGATTAAGGTGTACATGATCTAGGCCATGGTCTTTTCAATTACTTGCTATGCATCAGAGAGCTGGAGAATGACTAAAGATGACAGAAGAATTAATGCCTTTGAGTTGTGGTGCTGGAGAAGAGCACTATGGAATGCCAAGAAAGCTAGTGGGTCTGTCGGTCTGTCCTAGAGAAGGTAAAACCAGGCTGCTCCTTGGAGACAGGGATTTTTTTTTAAAATAAAATTTTCATCGTATTTCAACAAAATTATCCGGGAGGCGGGGCTCTATGAGGAGAAATGTGGGGTCAAGACTGGTGGATGATTTATCAACAATCTGCGTTATGCGGATGACACAACCCTGCTTGCTAAAACTGAGGAGGACCTGAAGCGCCTGCTGCAGAGTGTCAAGGACTGCAGCCTCCAATATGGATTGAGGCTCAATGTCAAGA